CATCCAGATTATCGTGTCTAATATTTTTATAATATACTGACCTATTGATTTATGTATTTTTTGACCTTAGTACACAAATAATGGCATTTATAAGATTTGATTATAAGCTCCCATTAAAATTAAAATTTCATATTATTATCGAAAAACGATAATATTTTTAGTTTTTATTCCAGTCTTTAGAACTTTAGAGTTTAGATGATGAAACTATGCAAGGTTAAGCAAAGTTAATACAAAATTAATAACCAATGGAAAACTACGTTATGTTTACACTTATTGATTTTACTATGGTGTGTATTTTTTTTATGTATTTGCACGGTTTTTTCGATCCAAAAGCTTAGTAGGTACTAGGTGTATAGTATAAACGATTCAGCATAACTTATTTCTTGTTCTAAATGAATTAAAAAATATAAAAATACATAAGCAGTTATTTTTTAAATATGTTTAAAGGTTAAATTTTGATTTAAGAATATCAATCTTAGTTATTTTTAGTGCTTCCTTCAAAAAAAAAAAAAAAACCGAAAACGATCTGCCAGCATTTAATATTACGAAGTATATTTTATGATATAATTGTGTTTAAAGTAATTTTTTTTTCTATTACTATTACTATATTTACAGAAAAAACAAACTAAAAAATTGAAAACTGAAAATGTCAGTAAACAGCTCAAAACTTGTCAACATATTTTAACCATTGTATCAAGTATAGAAAATGATAAAACAAATATGTGGTTTATATTTCAAGTTCGAAGTTCGTTTTTAAATTACCAAATAAGAAAATTTCTACTAAAAAAGAAAATCTTTCCATGAAAAATCGAGTGAATATACTCTTAAAATATACTTTTTTTGGTAAAAGTAGACCAACTTATAAGGAATCGTGTTACATTTTCAAATTTTAGATGTAAAAAAATGTATGAATTTTTAACTCAAAATATTTTGAAAACTTTCGAGATTATTTTTGACGAAAATTCACTGAACTTTAGATGCTCATAAAAAATATTGTTGATTTAACTTTGTTTTTAATTCATATAATAAATTCATATGCCTATAAATAGCTCAATACGAGGAAAAATATTTTTAAAACCCTTTATGGTGTATACAAATTGTTTATATAAACATTCAGTAAGAATTTAATGTATCTAAGCCAATTTTTTTTAGAGTTATACGAAAAACCAAATCGATTTTATCGAAAGCCATTTTAGCATAAAAATTCAAGTTTTTCCATAAATTTTTTTTTGTTTTTCCCTGCGCTTTTGAAAATTGTTCTGAATTTTTAATTTTTACCTCACAAATGCACCGAATAGATTCAGTTTCTCATTGGAGAAGATACTGAAGTTAAAAATTGAAGCATTATTTTGACTACACTTATCGTATACACACACAAAACAAAAACTCATTATTGTAATATCAATACATGTATTTATTGCTTTGTCAGAATCTAAAATAGTTAAGTGTTATTATTGAATTGAAACTTTTACATATATTATTTTACTTTATATACGTAATGTATTACGTATTAATATTCATACAGACTATCCTATTATATTTGTAATATGCCTGATATACATTTTAAGCTACTGCCTTTTTATAAATGAACCTGTAATTTATACTTTTCTAAGGTAAAAGTGGTATTGATTCTCAAGTGAATAACAATAGTCAATAATAAATGATATAAATACATATTATTATAATTTATAATTAAATATTTATAATATAATAAATGCAAAATCGATTTAGTTTTTTAGATTGAACTCAAAAAGTCAAAAATTAATGAAGGTATACTTGTATACATTAATTTCTCACTAAATGCTTAGGTATATTTTTACAATAGTAATATTACATTTTACATAATATTATTATTATTACCTTTAATTATAGATATAAGTTTATTTTCCCGTAGTTGCCAGTTGCTGCCTGCATATTTCGATAATCGATGCCGGACAATAACGCATAGCAATATCTATCTACGTGTAATTTTTTCTAGTCATGCCTGTACCCAACTATAATTATTTTCTATGATTTATTATGAATTGGTTATGAGAATAATATTATATAATATCAGTGTTAAATGAATCTTCGGCAAGTAAAGCCATTCAAATATCAAATATCAAGTACCTATCTATTAACTCACTGTTGAAGTGCAGCCAATGAATGGTCCCTTACCCCCTTCGCTCAAAGCAGGGACGGAAACCGGTTTTATGAAAACCGGTTAAAACCGGTTAATATTGGGTTTTGATGATTTATCTTAACCGTAACCAGAGCGGGAGCAATAAAACAAGAGAGCGGTTTTCAAGTCCGAGATTGAAACCCGTGGTTATTTGAACGGTAACCAAAACCGAAACCGTTTTTTTTACTTAGTGGTTAACCGGTTTTTTAAATTAAATGATTTCTGATACTATTATGTTATTTAATATTTTAGAAATATCCGAACATAAAACATTAAAACGAGAGTCGATATTCTGTGAATATAACGGTTAAACTATATAATTCTCTGTAGATATAATAAATATAAATTGAATTCCACTTATATTTTGTTATATAAGTTTATTATACTATTAGGTAGGTAAATATTATATATTATATACCTAGACACCTAGTAATTAGTATATATTGCTATATATTTTTTCGTGTTTTGTGAACACCGTCTGTTATGCACTTATGCTGGTATTGATCAATAGATTAAGATTTTGAATTTCTCAGAATATTTGATAGGTACCTATCTAATTGATTTAGTGATTAGTTTAAGTTTATCAATACTGGTTACTTATTAATTCTTAGTTATTAGTTATTAGTTATTAATAAATAATATACCTAGTGTCCGACGTAGTCGCAATAACTTGTTATTGGAAAAAAATATACGTACAAATTAATAATAGACCGTATATAGTCGTAATGACTAATGTCGTATATTAATTCATTTAAGTTATTGGTATTTGTGATTTTCTATCAATAATATAAGCCATAAGGTTTTCGATGAGTATTGAAAGTTATAGCTATTTATAACTTAAATAATTAAATGTTGATACTATTATCATTGCAGTTTATTAGCTTAATAATTTTCGGTATAACGATTTGTGATAATGTGATTTCGTATTTTCATGGTGTTTATTTGAAATACACCAGTGCGTACTGTCAATTCGCGTTAAGTTGTCGTGCGAATGTCAAGTAGGTAACTAAATTATTATTAAAATATTTTGTTAAAACGTTAAACGGTAATATGGGCAAGCGGAATCCAGTTGAAAAGTTATATTTTAAATTCGATAACGATTCTAACAAATCAAAATGTTTAATTGAAGGCTGCCCTACTTATCTTACTGGGAGGCATGCATCGAACCTCGAGAGACATTTACAAAAAATTCACATATTTAACATTTAATATATTGTTTAATGTTTATAAAGGTTATTATTTTATAATTGTATTTGAATGAAACTTTATCAAAAAGTTAAAAGTAATAAACTAGAAAGCCTTAAGTAACAAATTACAATTGCCTAGTGTCTTAATGAAATGTCAAGTCTAATCGTTATTGGTTTGTAAATAATAAGTTTAAGGCTATTTAAGTTTTAGTTATAACATAACTTTATAAGGCTTAAGTTTTTTCTAGATATTTTAAATTCTTTGTATCCAGGAGAAAAAATTGTGAATAAACGTTATTCAATTATGAACCTAAATTAAAAGGGTGTTGCATTAAAAATTCAAAAAAAAAACTTAATTTTTTTTTTACCTATATATGAGCGGTTAACCGAAGACCAAAACCTTTGTAAAAGAAAACCGGTTTTAAAAACCGACACCAAAACCTACAACTTTTATTTTGAGTATTAAAACCGGGGAGCAAAACCTTAAATATAAAAAACCGGTTTTAAAAACCAAAACCGAAACCGCCAAACTTTTTTTTGGTTTCCGTCCCTGCTTTAATCACAATAATATCATAAAATATGCTTTTTAATACCATAGGCTGACTGAAAAAGAATCTTTTTTCGTCCACAATGATTTTTTTACAGCAGATCGTTACAAACTTAAGGGGACGTAATACTGGTATTTATTTTATTGTCTCCGTCTCACACGTACGTAACATAGCAGATCACATATTGCTTCGTTAGTTAAAAAATTCTTTTCAAACTCCATTCGCATGCAAGGTACCTATCTGTATATTTGAGTTAATTGCACTAGGGACAATAATTATATTATTCAATTATTGTTTTCTAACTGTTAAATTATTCGACTTTCTTTCCGGTTTTTAAAAACAGTATACATATTTATTTATGGTACATAATAAATATAGTAATATAAATAATATGTTATATTAATATTGTAATTTTATGATCGATAGAAAGAATAAAAACGTACTATCGCGTAAAGGCTATCAGAGTTACCCAACATCGATAGTACTACGTGGCGTTATCACTCATTTTCATGCTGTTTTTCCGTGTACCGTGTCCGACATTCTATGTACACCGGTACGATATCATGTACTATGTGGTATAAGTGTATAACAGGTGTTTATTTGAATAATGTCCGGTGAGTGTATAGTGTTTGAAATAATGTTAGGTAAATATAACAAACATTATATTATTTACTGGCGCGACGCAAATTTTCGAAAACTTAACCCGGATAACTGTTCCAGACGAGTTATTATTCTTGTTCGTATTATATCTAATAGCGGGAAATATGTTGAAGTTCGCAGTCTCAAGTTGACAGATCAAAAATGTTGAGAAAAATAAACGCACATTTCGAACGAAAGAGATGATCGACAAGGCGGTATCGCAACGTTGTCGCCCATGAGATGAACGTCCGCGTAGAAGGGATAGAGTGAGAGACGTAATCAGCCCGAGCATTTCGTCAACGATCGATCCACGGTCACGGTGCGCTCGTAATAATAATAATAATAATAATAATAAAAGTCCAACGGTGCGGTCCGTTTCGCATCGGTAGGGCGTTGCGCAGCGGCAACGTCGAAATCGTCGGCTCGGTCACATGGTCGTCGATTGTCGGCGATAACGAATGAACAGCAGCAGCGGCAGTGTAGTAGTAGTAGAACAATAATGATGGTAGGGCTGCCGATGCGTTTTCGTAATATTAGTTCAAACTCGATCCGTTCCTTCGATCAGTCTTGCGTTTGATCGGCCGGCTCGTGAGTCGTGGTCTGTTCCGGTTGAGACGTCTTCTTGCTGTGGCTGTCGTCATTGCTGCTGCTGTTGCTGCCTCTGCACACGAAGTATTTACTTTTTTTAATAATTTTTTCCCCCCAAATTTTAGCGTACCGGTAAACGGTTTCGGGGATTTTTTTTTTCATTTGAACATAAACACTTACCTATTTTATGATCACGATTTTTAATATTGGATCTCGCAAGTCTAATGAATCATTTTATTTTTATTTTTCCCAACATGATAGGTAGGTGCATTGTGTCTTATCCGATTATTCAAAAACGTGTTTCAAATGGTGACAGCCCACGGTTTTGCTTTTCGTGCACTCGAGTAAATGGTGTACGTACGATCACGCTGTTGCACTACCATTCACGTCTGACGATACGATTTCGTTAACGGCTTGTCGCCGATTTTATTGAAAAGAAATAAATAAGTTCAATATCGAAGCCATGGCCAACAAAATGAGGTCCAAGAACCCGCCAGAAAAGAAGACGCCGTCGGTGCAGGTTATCAGTAAACTACCCCCGGACGGTGGTTGGGGCTGGTTTGTCGTATTCGGATCGTTCATGATACACGTAGTCAGTGAGTGATTCTTAATAATATCACAAATAATTTTTATAGATACTCTTAACGAATTATAATAATAGATCGTTTTACCGACAGAAATAAATGCGTAAAAAAAATCAACACACGCGATTATATAATAATATGTTTATGTTTTATATTCTATTTTAGACTCTGCTAATTCTCATTAATTTTATACTCGCGATGCCTTTTGGCACAAAGCCACTATCAGATTTAAAAAAAAAATTTATTATTATAATATCCTACATTTGTGTTAATGTGTACTTGATGTATATTTTTGCTTAATCCTGTTGGAGTTAAATCATCAGCCTTTCCGACCAATATACCTACAGTTTGGTTTTAATAATTTAAAAGCACTAGCCTGTTATATTCTCACCATACACAACAACAAAATACAATAGGTATTATTAGCCTCCCTTATTTTTTTGAGAATTTAAAAATTCAAAATAATAGGAACCACATTAAAAAAAAAATTATGTCTCTACCGTTGTCTGTACCTGCCTATGTAGTTTTGAATCTATTCTTAACTATCGAATTGCTAAAAAATATATGATGAAGGTATACATTGTTTTTATTACAATTTAAAATATTGTATCACTTTGCTTAATTTTTAAATACAAATATTACTGACAAAAACCGTTATGAAATGTGTTTATCTATTTGGTCGATTTCCAATTCTTAAGCTTACATTGCTTACTATTGGGGATCTATTTATTTTATTGTTATTGGATGAGGAATCGGGTATGAATGATTTTAAATATTTAAGTAAAGAAATATCAGAAATATGTACAAGGACTTCCTATGTCTTAATGTATTAGTGAATGGATATAGTCAAATATAATTTAAATAAATATTTTGGGGTAGGTAGGTAGGTAGATAATATAAACTAAGTATTTATCCCGGTATTCATTAAAATTTTTTTATTTTTTTATTCTCTTAAATATGGATAAATCATTTTATATTAATTAAAATCTATTTGATTTATTCCTAGTTAGCCTATTTATTAAAAAAAAAAAAATAATCCAATTTTGATATGATTCAAATTTGTTAAAATGTATTGAATGTTAATAATAATCTGAGCATAATATCTATTAATAGTTAGATTACTATTAGATCATTTCAAAAGTCAATTTAATTTGAAAATAGTAGGTACACATGTCTCCTATCTAAATATATGTTTTTGAAAATAAATAAAAATTAGAAAATTAATGAAATCATCATAGGTATTAATTATATTTTGGTCTTGAGTATTATATGTACCTAATAATACTAAAAATGTAAGTAAAATAATATGTGAAATTATCATAATATAGTGATATTTATTTTATAGTCTCATGAAAACATTATTGTGCTTATGTAATATAAAAAAAAACATTTTGTTGAAATGTTTTGCTTACACATGTGTTTTTGATAATTAATGAATAGAAATGAATATAAATTTCTATTTACACTTGCCATACAAAATGATTGTCATAGTTCAAACTATTTATTCGTGTAACAAACTAACAAACAGTTCTTATAGGATTTCAGTGTACACCGCCTTACATTGTAATATTTATGATGATAACTGCGATTGTTTGGCTTGTACAGTGTGTTAGGTACCTGGTGTCTTTTTTTTTACTGAACTTTACCTATAAATTATGTATAATATAATATATATAAAGAACAGGACAAAGCAGAATTTATCAACTATCTATGTTAATTTTTGTTATAATATTTAATATTTTATAGTTTTAAAATTATTTAAATCTTACATCTAATAGTTTGGATTTATCTTGTCAATTTCCACTAACAAGTACACTGTAGGTCAAATTTTATCACACAATTAACATTTTACGAGTTAAAATAATAATTATTAATAAATATAAATATGATAATATTTGTCTTTGAATATGTTCTGATTTATTTCAAAATGTATTTATTAGATTTATTAAATAGAAATGCTTGGTTATTGTGTAATGACAGTTTCCAAGATTAAATTTTAGTACGATAATATTAGACCTCATAGGTCGGGTATCATTAAATTCTAATCACAATTGTCTTGACAGTTATGAAGAATAGATAAGAAACTAACTTTAAAAAAGAATCTATAAACGTGTATGTATACATATTTGTATATAGGAATAATAAGTATTAATAACTTATAATTAATGATAAGTAATGATTGATTAATATTAGGTATATGAATTAAACTAATTAATATTTATTTACATGGGTTTAGTTATAAGTTAATTGATGCTTAGATATTATGCAAGCAGCAATTATTTAAATCACCTAATTAGTCATAAAATAATTTCCATTTTATAAATTTAACAATTATTTTGTTTTGTTTTAATTGTGGTTTAATTCATAATTAAATATTTATTAAGATTATGATTCATAATTCATCAGACATTTTTTAATATTTCAAGCTGGGAAAGAGTTGGGTACTTAAAACCAAATGTGCTCCAAAAATATGTTAACTATCTATGGGCTGGCTATAAATTTTAATGTTTATTTTAAATTTTCCATGTTCCTTCATAATTCTAACTTATAAAATGTGACAAAATGCTTAATTTGGTTAGTTACCCAATAATAAATTAATGTTTACACATATTATGTACTTTATGATTATCTTATAGAAATAAAATGTTAACCTTTGGTGACAGGCGTGTAACTATTTACCCCCTTCTATTTTTAACATGCTATAAATTATTTTGTGCATTTTCCATACTCATTACTTCATTGAGTAATTTTATATTTTAGTAATTATTGTACAATCACAAAAATATTTAAATATAGTTTTATAATTTTCAAGTGTAGCTCACAAAAATTAAAAAATTAATTAATTTTAATCTAACAATTAATATACTTACTTCAATTAGAGTTTAAAAAAATGTTGTATAATTTCTAGTATAAAAATAAACTTTTTAACTATTACAATTTGACTAAAAATATTATTATTAGATACTTCAATGGAAAAAATTACCTCGGGCAGCTTGCAACCATGTGATATGATACCACATGCATTACTGAAGGTTAATTGTAAAATTTTCATTAGCTAAGTATTCAATTAAACAAAAAGTATTAACTTGGTGTCAAACTTGTATGTAAATGTAATAAAGTTATATTATTTTGCTAGACAATTGCACCTAATCAGCATTTATAAACATTAAATAAAATAATTTATATTTTGCTCAGTTTTATTAAAATGTTGATTTTAATGGGCTAATTAAACTACTATGAACCTTAGATAACCCAAAGGTTGGCCAGATAAATTTTTCATTTTCTGAATATTGTTTACAATACTTTAATATATATATATATATACTATACTAAATACAAACCTATATTTTGCTTTGAATCTTATTTCAACTGTTTCATAATAAATTATTAAAAATACTTTACAATTTGTACATCTTTAAAATGTTCATACCATTTTCCAAATATTTGTATGAATACAAATATGAATATGATATGTTTATGATCAATATCCTTTGCATATTTATGAAATGCTTGATGTATAATTAATATGTAGAAAATATGAGCACATTCTGCAATATTTTTGTCTTACAAATCTGTATCCTAACTATAATTTTTTTTTGAAATTTAGGTTTTCGTCTTTTTTATAACATTCAAAGTAACTAATTTATGTGAGATCTATGTTTATTGAACATAATCCTAATAAACAAGCAATAGTTTATGTGTAAAGTTCAGATAATTTTAAAGGTTAATTTTATTTAAATATAAAAATTCTCTTGTAAGATTTACTTCTATTTAATTACTTATAGTTGCAGAATTAATAGTTCTTATTAAATGAGCTGAATGGTTCATATAAATTACCCAAATTAAAGGTGTATGTCGAATTGTCGACAAACTAATGTATTGAGTACTTTACTTTGTTTTTAATCGTCATTAGACAGTGACAATACTGATATTATTTAACTATAATTATATACTACAAAGTCCAGCAGGGAGAAAATACTTTTTAAAATTAGTTTAACTAGTAAGTGTGCAGAGGAGAGGGGGGGGGGTTCTAATGTTTTTGGAATAGAATTGACTCTTAGAAATCCTCATACCTCCTTATCAGGCTACAGGTACTTATTAAAATTAAAATTTGAAGGTTTAAAATTTGCTTAGTATACTCGTACAAACGCAACTATTATTTCTGTTAATGTGTTGTAGTAACATAATGATTTTTGATTAACACAAAATAGTTTTAGCACAGTATCATACTTTTTGTTATTTCTTATTGATATTTGTTGTTTAAATGAATAATTTATGCAATTTTAAAATTGTTTTTGTTAATTTGTATGTACTTACTATTATAGCTATTATTTTAAAAACTATGTTATTGTTGATGATAAAACATAAATTATAATCAAATATTTTGATTGATTAAAGTAGCATAAAAAAAAATTAAAAATTAAAAAGTTTATTCATAATTGATATTTTATTAATATTAGTTTGATTATTTATTTTAGAATTGATTTTAAATTTGTATTAATGCTATTCCATAGTAATTGCTTATTTAACTAAGTATAATAGTTATTAGAAAAAATTCAATAAGATATACCTAATACAATTATTAGGTATCTCATTAATGACATAATTAACTATGTAATAACTCAGAATCTTATTTATTTCGATTGTACCTAGTGTTTACTCCACGATTTTCTAGACAAAAAATTCAAGGCAGGCAATAGATAAAAGCTTTGATGAAATAAGCTTGATATACATAAGAATCTATGAAATTTATTTATTACAGATTCTTTTTAAAATAAAGTACTTGACTGTATAGGCAGTATCTATGTGACTGTGTAAACTAAAATATGCATAATTAATTGCCTTTTTTTTAAAGAATACTTATTTCAGATTGCTAATAAATCAAATCAATATTAATATATAAATATTTAATCTTAAGTAGTACTTAAACTATAATTACATTTTTTTTCTGATATGGAAAAGTTGTTGAAAACAATTGTAAATCAACGTTAACATTAATTCTTATTACATTAATATCTATTAGAAAACTAACCTGATTAATACCTCCTAAATAAATGTCGAGGTATTCATTAACAATGTGATTTATGAATATTGAATATCTACTATTAAATATGTTAGCATCTAATTTTAGTATAATATATTTAAAAGAAATATTTTTAAGTATTAAATTCATTTTGGTTTTGTCCAATTTATGATTTTTACATATAGTTGTACACAATTATTTGTACTTATATAAATAATAGTATATTACATTATTTATAGTCATACTCAAATTAACTATCTAGTTGAAACAAAATTGTACAAAGGTTCTTCTGTTCTGGCTACTATAAATAATATAATAATCATGATTTACCTATATTCGTAATTATATGTTACATGCAATATTTAAGACGTTTATTACTATTTAAGAGAAGGTTGTAAAACCAATATATTTGTCTGCTCCTCTCAGAATCTAAAAGTACTTCATTATTAAAAATTAACATATTTGTAAAATATTAATGATACTATATGTTATTAACTAATAATCATTAAGCATTGAAAAGAATCACTAGGTACACGAATATCAATTATTTTATTCTTTATGATTACCTACTTATAAAAATTACATTAAAAAAATTTATCTTATACCTATTTTATCCTTTTTTTCTTGTTATACAGTATAGACAATTGATTTCAGAAATTACGGTTTTAGTGATATTGTGTACATTTTTAAACAATATACCACTACTTTATATCTAAAACTATTTTTGGTAACAAAGAATAAAATCAACGATTAGTAAAATAAATAACATTTCATGTATTTATCAAATTAAAAAAAATTATCATTTTAAGGACTTAAATTTTTGATTTCAAATGAGTATGTTTTCATAGGGTTTCAAATATAAATTATTGTTATTTGAAAAAAAAATCAAACAAAAAACCTAATAAAGTAATAAATAATAATAATTACCGTTATCTGTGTTCTTTTTTTCTAGCTGATGGAGTAACCTATTCGTTTGGTGTTTTGTACACGGAATTCTTAGAAGTTTTCAAAGAAAGTAAAGGGGCAACTGCATGGATCGCATCCTTGTTGGTTGGAGTTACTTTATGTTCAGGTAATAATTTAATATTTTTGATATAAATTGCTTAAATATAGATTGATGTTACTTTCATTAGAAAAATAGTACCTTTCATATTATTATTTTTTCTTTTAGTTAATAAGCTTCAAGAACTATTTATATTTTTCATTATAACAAAATAACTTTAAGGTATATAGTATAAATATAATATTATTATGATACCTACAGATTATGTGTGACCTTTGAAAGTATAGTTATCATGGACAAAATATAATATTGCTCTCCATGTTTTGTCCATTTTTTTTTTGCATTTTGATCTCTTCAATGTATGTAAATTATATTATGAAATCACAGATGTCGTTATGAATTTTTACTATTGATAATTAATATAATATTTGTGTCTTAAAACTAAAAACCTCAAAATTGTATAATTAAGAGAGTAGACACTGTTTGATATGTATAGCAGTAATTCAAATTACATTTTTTATTACAATTGAATACAATTTAAATATTGTTTTGTAATTTAAAAATGTTTATTAATGTGTTTGGTAATTAGATACCTATATTTTTATTATAAAAAATAAATAATAAAATATTAATTGTAATTTTTTTATGTTTGTTGTGTGTAGGTAGACATAATTTAAGTTATTAAGTATGTGTATAGTCTTATAGATATTAACTATTTAATTATTTGTTATGTTGTATTCCCGATACAGTATATTATAATATACTATATAGTTCATTATCAATTTGATACAATTTTCAACTGTCAATAGTATTTTTTTGTGCTATAATGCTAAGTAATTAATATTCAGAATTTTCAACACAACAACGATTCTGCCTAACTCTTAACTTCCCCAACTCTTTACTTAATACCTGTATTCGGTTTGTTATATAATTATTTTTGTTCGGTGTTGTTTAAAAAAAAACTGTACATCGTCAACAGCTCAACTGCCTCCATTATTGGTCTGACTTGAAAAAATCAGTTTTCTTTCGTTTATTTCGTCTGTCGTTCGAGAACCGGTGTAAACCGCATGGATCTATGTGCTAAGCACATTGTGCTTATGTGAGTTGAATAAAAAAATTTCATTTTAGCGTTCGACGCTGTTAGTTTTTTTTTTTATCACAATCACACAGCGCCACAAGATGTGCGTCCGCATCGACGACGTGTTTCGTTTCACATTCGAGTTTACAATATAATAAATACAATATATTATATTATTATGGATAAAAAACGAGAATCATTTTAAAATAATGTGCACTTCACCACCCCTTCACTACCCCCATACGTATTACAAACATTATTAGTATTCATTTTTGAGTACGTATATTATGCGTGTCTTATTATTACATATTATAAGTTATTTGACAATCTTATATAATATTATATTGTATTATACAATACAGGTAAAGGTATCCTTCATGAATCCAAACAGAACTCGGTGTCCTGCTCATATTAGTTGAGTACCTACCTACCTATAGTCTGATTTTATAGTGCACATGCCTCAGGCGGTACTGCTTAATGGGTGGAGACGGTATGCAATATATAATATATATATTATAATATAGGTTAGGATATATAATATATATCTATCATCGTAATAAAATTCGAATTTAAACACATCGGTTCCTTTTATTATTATTATTTTGTTTGGGCGGGTGATTTGTTTGTGTACTGCCACAGGGTGCCAAATTCCTAAATACCGGTGCACGCAAACCATGTGTGTTCAGTGTTTATCGTTAGACTATATTAACGATTGTGTTGTCTTGTAAGTATAATATATTAATATTATAATAAACATTTCACATTTGTGATTAATTTCGTCAAATGTTTAAACACTACACGAATTGTACCTACAACTGAAGTAAAATCAAAAATCATAATTTTAAATCGTTAAAACACTTGTTTATTATATTTGTATTTGAATGATTTTATTAAAATGTCATTTTATTTAAAAAACCTTTTATATTATGTGATGCTCAAACCGATATCTGTGATTTAATCTTAATCTTAATATTTTATTTTTCCAAGACCAATAATAATAATAATGATGGCACGACATGCGCACGCTGGTTCCGTCGTATGAACCGCGTGAATGCAGTGGAGATAGTAATATATTATTATGTAGGACGCGCGTACTGCAGACAACCGCCGTTGCTTATGTTATAACTTATAAGTTATAATAATGAGTGTAATGCTAATATCTCAATAAATAGTATATACAATTTAATTGTTTGAATAAGACATATTTTGTTAATATCTTTGGACTAACATAGTTATATTTGAGACTCGATTATCCAAAAGCAGTAATAAAGTATTATGTATAGCATTGTTGTTTCAAGTTTACCGACAAAATATTTTTAAGGATCTTAAAATAAGAACTTGTAGATGGTTAAGTCGTTTCAATAAATTTGACTTTTTTATTTTTAACGGATACGCTTGATCGATTTATAACCGTAACCGGACTAATCAAATTATAATGTACCTGTAATGTATAAAAAGAAATTAAAAAAAAAATTATTCATAGTTGTAACATCTATAATTAGATGTTACAACTATGAATAATTATTTTAGTACCTACTCTATATTTTATAGAATATTTTATATATTATAGTACACGTGTAGCATTTCTATTTATTAAAGCTGCAATTATAGAGCTTAAGGTTATCTAATAAAATCATCTACACAAGTTCATAAAATGATTATGTGTTCATAATTGTTTTTACTAACGGAGCTGAGAAATTAATTTTGTTTTGACCCGTGTTCAATTTATTCATTTCATCTCGTATTTGTTCAAAATAAATATTGGTTATGAACTAATTGTGTATCCGTGTCGAACATATTGTTATTTTTACATTATAAAATATGTATTACAAGATTTAATGCAAAAATAAAACAAGTTTGTAACAAGTATTATTATTATTATAATCAATTAGTATTGATTACAATATATTGAATGCTTAACGTATAGGGTTAATAATATAACATAAATTACAATTTAGTTATGATGCATAAACAATCAGTTTAAATTATATTATTATTGAGTATTAAAGATTTCTAAAGCAACTGAGGGTAACTTATTTTGGCTCTTCAAATAATAAATGTGGAGGTGGACATATTTTACAAATTTCATAAAAAAAATCACAAAATAAAAACTATAGTAAGATTTTGGAAAATAATTTTATGTCGAAACTATTGCATTTGGTATGTTGTTTTCTAAAAGTATAGATAGAATATTAATATAAATTAATAAAATAGCATATCTATGATTATAATCTATAATTATTTATTTCAGTTTATTTACAATTTTAAGATATTATTTTAAACTTGAGGTATAATGTTGTTAAGTAATAAGCCCGTATTAAGCCCATTATGATGTTTTTGAACTTTTATGTTCTATCTCGTTAGAGCTACTGACAAGAAAAGTCCCAAACCTTATATGGTAATTAATATAAAATACATTTTTTATTTATACGTATAAACCTTGTAACTTGGAAGTGTTTTGTATTCTAATATTTTACAAACCTTTCAATATTAAACCTTAACTATAATATACATGTAATATACATTATTCTGGAAAAACAAAAAAAGCTATTTGGAGACGAAGGTATAAGCAAAGATAAATATTTTTCTGAGTTTCATGTATTCATCGGTTAAGTTAGTTTTATTTTTGCGTTCGTTTCAAATGTACAAAAAACAGCAGTTAAATTAAGTTGAATTTCGTTCGTTTTGTAAATGAATTTTACATTATTTGAATATTATAATAACAACATTATTACTCCGTACATCTCATTTGTATTTTTAGTTATTACTTTTAGATTCTGAGCGGAGTGAGTATATATAATGTATTGTACTCACAATGATTTGTGTTTTTTGACATCAGCATCTTTTATGATAAAAAATTTAAATTAGTTAGTACTTTTGAGAGGTCAAAATTGAAAATTCTCAGTAGTTTTGGAAAGTTCCAGAAAAAACAAAAAAGGGGTAATTTTATGCAAAACAAATTTTTGAAAAAATCGTTTTTATTGTTTTGATAGGTATAACTCTAAAACTAATAACCGTAGACCCTCAAAATGTTAGTATTAGTATAAAATATTTGTGTTAGCTTTTTTGAAATATTACAACTCTTTTTGAGCTATTTATAGCCTTGAAACATTTTTAGAAATTTTTCAATTTCTTGAAAATTATTCTCAATAAAAACTTTTTTACTTAAAAAAAAAATAAGAATTTTTAATGCAAAGTTCCTTATAAGTGTCTTTTGTAGGAAGTCAAAAAATATTGAAGATACATAAGCACGATTGTTTTTTATACATATTTAAAATTCAAATTTTGACAAAATTCATTACATTTTCGAAAATATTCAAACTATTTTTCTTTTAGAAATTTATAAACGTTTTTCTTTTCATATCTAACATTATGAATTTTGATTGAAGATTCACAACACGCTTTTCTTCCTCTATAAAAAAAGAGTTCACCGGAGAGTTATGCTATAATAGCTATGAGATATTTTCAGTAATTCAATTTGATTATTTATACAAGTGTGCTAGAATGACACGATGTCTTCGTTCAGAATCGTTTTCCATATGCGATGATTTATCATTGAATTTAAATATAATACATACATTACAACGACAACTATACTGTACAGCAAGTACCCACTTGTATAACCTTTAGTTATATTGTTTATAAGGTTTTTTTTATTAGTCTTAATAGGTATCTATGTTTTATACATGCAAAATAAACAAAACAGCTAAAATGTACTCAAATATACATAAACTGTAAAATTGAACACTGTAAAATGAAAAGGGATGATTGTATTTAGATACTTATACTGTGTCGTAATTAAAATAATGAAATGTTGTATAGAAATTGTTTACTTTATCTTTTAGAAGCTGGTTGAAAAATAGTAAAGGTAATAAAATAAAACGAACTTTTACTCTTGGGCATATTAGTGATAATTGTGTCAAACAATTTTTTTGCAAACTTACTGGTATGGCTTTATTAAATATATACAATATAAAGGTATTGAGCGGAAGACCAAGCAATCATAGATCGATTCGCAAATGGCAAAATGGCAAATGAAAAGCAGGGAAGTCGCCCTGTTGACTGCTGTACATTAGGTTTCAATAGTATTTAATAGCCATTGAGTAGGCCATTGCAATGAATATGTTAAATTTGAACTATCATAATTTTGCAAATACGTAAAACGATTCTGCTAGTCAAAGAGAAGTGTGGATTTGCTCTTATTTCTTTGTATTCATACAATTAGAATTCGATATGTGTAGAACTTACTTTTGCAAAAGGAAAAACGGGTTTTCTTGTGGTTACTTACTGTTTTTATTACATCATAATGTTCACCTTTTGAATTTTGAGTAAAATTGTTAGAAATAACAAAAGTAATGCTTTTTTAATTTGCCTAAATTAAAATCATTAATAATATAAGTATAACTATTAAAAGTTAGAAAAAAAATTATCTGTTTCTAATTTAAGTGGCAAGTATTCTAATTTAAACAATGCTTAAAAAACTGGCTTACAGTCATACAAGTATTATTTAAGTTAAAATACAAAATATATTACAGATCGATAATAATAGTGCTGATAATAAGTGTTTAACATTTATCTATATATTTTATTTTGCTTGGTTGTATGTACAATTTCTTTTCAAAAAATAACAAATATTCTTGGAAATATATACAATTTGTTCGTGATTAATTGGCACAAAAGGTTTGATATGTTTTTTATGGTTTCCTTTATAGTTGCGGTTACTCTTATTTTCTTCTTACGAAATCATGTTACAGGAAAACCAATTACTGTTTTCAAATATTTTGATAATTTGCGGCATCAAATAAAAAAAAGTAGTAGCACATTAATATTCTGGCACCTTCGTCTTTTTTTATAATATTAACATCTTATAATTTTGTCTGGCATAATATTATCGCTGACAGCTAGTCGTGACTCGCACAATTATTGAAATGTTTATTTGTAACAATATTTGTATGACTTCGGAAGTAAAATCATCTTGAGGTGATATCTGTTTTAGTTTGTATTTCTACCAACCGATCTATACGCTTTTTTATTACCTTGTATTTTGTAAACTATCTTAGTACCTATATTGTAAAAATTTTGGCCTTGAGCTTTTTTAAATATTTCCTATGATTTTCTAGATTCGTCTGAATTAAAAATACCAATTATATGCATTATAACAATACAACATTTTCAATCGCCTATCGATCGTGTCTTACAATATACCCACGTCCTACTTATGTGTATATGAAACTATCATTGTACACCAGCAAATTAAATTTGAATTTCTTTTCAACGTTTCTCTCGTTTGGTATTGGTAATACAAGTGTAGAACACGCTCTCAATAGCCCTATTCAAACGGTGTTATATTGTTATTATTAATAACCTTAGCCAGTAATATATGACGAACCAATTTTAGACAGCATAGATTTTATTGTTTATTACTTAGGTATCTATGTATTTGTTAATTTCAAATTTATGTTTTTTTGTGTTTATTGATTTTACATCTTTAGATCATAAAACGATGCTTCTAATTTTAAAGAAAACTACGAAGTTATATACACTGCATTAAATTTAAATAAAATAAATAAATTAAATAAATATAACTCATAAGTATTTATTATGTCATAACATCAGTCCTTTGTTGCATTTGGGGAAATAAAATAAAATAATCTGAAACGAGTATTCAGTAAGGTCTAAATTAAAAGATTAACTTTAATTTAAAAACTCGTTATGTAAAATAATAAATATTTTTTTCCATGTTTAATTTATTGTTTGAGATATAGGAGTTTTTTCCCCGAGATGAAACCTGTACACATTTTAAAGTACAGTGGTGAAATTGTGCATATCGGTTGTCATTAAAGAAATAAATGTAATTTATAATTCTCTCGAGCGGAAAGTAGTAACACGCTGCCGCATTTCATACCACTGAAAAAATATGTTAATTTTCAATGGGAATGATTCAGAATAATATTATTTGTTGTATTATAATAATAGTAGGTATAGGTAGATTCTGTGTTTGTTTTACATGTAATTAATATTTATATAATCATGCATATAATATATTTCTATATCTTTGTCCACTAACCAGTGGGCTGGGTAATGTAGATTTGACTAGGTATTTCAATTATTAGTTATGAGGTGACATTGTCGTATAACGGTTGTTAGCTCTTCAATAAAAATAATTAAATACATTCATAACTCACTGGACAAATGCCATATTATTTTTGAATATTTGAGTATGATTGGTGTATATAACGCGTGGATAGAGAGACAATGAAACAAAATAATTTTTCTTTCCCGTTTGTCGCATAAATGCATCATGTTATTTCTTGGACGTTATTTACTAAACCTAAATAATTCAGGGTATTATGAATTTTCTATCCTAAATTTGTAAACATTATGTAAATTGTATGATTTCATAAGAGCGACAGTGACGATATGCATTTATCCTCGAATAATAATGCATTTCTTAACTCGAAAGATAATTTAACAATATGATGCTAACAAATGTTTAGTTAACCTTATCATTTCTAGTAACAGCCTTTATATATTAGCGACACCGGCCATAATATATTTTAAACCCTAAACCTATTTGATTTTAAGAAAATAACAATGCCGTACATTGAATGTAAATCTACGTACACTTAAGTAGTTAGTTCATTAAAGTATATTATTTTAGTTAATAATTTATTTTTTTATTAGTTCGAAGTAATCAAATTAGCTATTATTTAAAAAAAAAATTATTATTGTTGCTTAAATTAATCTTGTGAATTATTTTTTCTTAAAAAGTGTTGATTAAGATCTAATATCAATGTTCTGACCTTTTTTTACAGGACCCATCGCTAGTATTTTCGTAAACAAATACGGTTGTCGTGTGGTGACTATTGCAGGAGCCATACTTGCGAGCATTTGTTTGATGACTAGTGTATTCGCCAACAGTCTGGTAACGCTGTACATAACTATCGGACTCGGAACAGGTAAATTAATAGTTTTATTTCTATATATTTTATGAAACTGCAGTTTTTAAACATTAATATTTAATAATAATTTGATAAATCAACGCAATTGTATCGATTTTAAGAAGTTCTATAGTATGGCGGTGCGTATTACGAAATTTTAATGAAAATTTTAATTGAAGAATTAAAAATAATATGTACAATGTGGTTGCAATTGGTACATTATGCATCCGTTTTAAACTAATGAGCAAAGAATTGGGTTCTATATATTTATTAACATTCCCTTAATACGCACACTTCTAATCTACACCACTTGATAAGCAACTTGTGTCATCAAGTAAATCATATTTTGCCATTTTCTCCGTTGCCGAATTTATAGATGAATATATAATATTATGTGAATTATAATATGCATTATGCACGTCTTGGTTTTTTTGTTGATATGTTACCTAAGTAGTTTGCATTAATTATATCTATGTACACTTTTGTACCCCAAAACATGGCGGACGAGCTTCAATCATTTTGTACTTGTTCTATTGAGAGTTGTTAAAGTCCAGTATGGTATAGAAATATGTGCTTTAAAATTGTTGCGCTTATCTCGATAGTTTCACGTCATCGTACTTCGAATAGTATATGCTATATGTAGACATGGAGTAGAAAATGTCATATTACCAAAATGCAATAAAAATGTTTTTCTAAAAAGTGGCAAGGACTTAAGAAATATATACTCAAATTTTAATATTTTAAATATGTCTTGAAAACTTCAACGTGCTGTACGTTTTAAGTTCAAACATTTACTAAACCCTTTTTAAAAACGTTTAGCTTATATAGTATATTACACTTTAGTACAAGCTGAAAGTTCTTAAGTTAATTTTGGTGAAAATTATAATTCTGAAGAGTAGCATAAAGCTATATTTCAAAGTAGAATGAATTCAAATAAGACATTTTTTAAATAAAAATGATATACTTTTACTTTATACATTTTACATTTTTCAACCATTTCCTAACCTAACCTAACCTAACCATTTATCAGGTTATTCTAAGACAATTTCCAAACATTAAATTATTCAAACTTTCATTGATTGATTAAAAACATCAGATTTTTTTTTGCTTGCAGATTTAGCGAAAATGTTTTTTTTCTTTTTTAAATACATTTCCTACCAGGTTCTTTGAAAAATAAATCTTTTTATAGTACATAATTATATTTAAGTAATAATTTTTTCACTTATTTTAAGCTATGATGTTTTATGTTTACTTTTAATTATTTGTATGAGTCAACCAAAATATTAATTTAAAATGTACCTATTTGTTTAAAAAAAATGTTTTTATTACTGCGTTTTTAGTGTATCTACAGGTATTTAATAACTTTTTCGTATGCGTTTTATTTGAGCACATTTTAACGTTAATAAGTTGCGTCCTCATTCTAAAAAAAAACTTATTGGTAGTTAAAGACTAAGACGTGGTGATTATCATACGCATGAAACCGGTAATGTAGTCAATAAAAACGATCATGAAAAAAATAGAACAATGAAGGTATTACAAACGTACCTAAATAGTCGAACATTGACCGCGCGCGCTTACTCACCTGTTAGATGTATACTATTATATTTATATCATTATTCGTTTTAGTATAAGCTGGTTACCTTCTCGAACATTACATGTCACTACCATATAATTCACTACCACTGTGTAATTTCGGTATTAAAATAATAGTCGTATACAACAATCGATTATTATTATAAATGTATGTACGAGAAGAGACTAATATTTTATATACGCCAGGCAATTTTGTTATCGGTTATTTTAACATTTAATATTATATGTAGCCTTGGATGATAACTTTTCGCAATGATCATTTAAAACTATAATTGCCTAGAGCATATTTTTTTTCGATATTTCGATAACATACCTAATAATATTATAATATTATATAATTTATAAATAAGAAGGATAATGTTATTATAATGTGTGCGTGGAGTAAGTGTTTTGTGTGGGCAAAAAGCAATCTATATTTCGAACTTCGGAATTCGGAGCGTACTGTTGCTATTTAATTCGAGACAACCGTGTCGTTGTAGGTATTATATATTATATTATTTATTACTGACTTGTAATATGCTTTATTAAACTAGTCGTATCTGGGTGTATCTGGATTCTCGTGTGGGGTGGCGCCGTACGCATGTCCGTAGCATAGGTACCTACAATAATAATATATTTGTGCATTAAAATATGTGTTCACCGTTGAGATAAAATGTTTTGCCAGTTTTCCATTGTGGTTTTTGACGTCCACGCGCGTCTAAATTGGGCGGGTTGCCACCGTCGCGCCGCACGTTCGGTATAATATTCAGACTAGGTTGTAACTATTTTCAATGTTTGATTACAAGGCACATAGCTTTAAACGGGATTAGATACATATTAAATGTGTTCCAAAATGGCCTGACTACTACTGCATCACGACGTGTAGTTGATCTGTTGATTGATTAAATTATTATTAGTTATTATATCTATTACTCGAGAGCTGCAACACAATGTTTTTAAAAATGTATGTTCATTATGTTAATTTATTTATGTAGGTGCTGATGTGTGTGTATGTATACGTTTATAATCGTATTGTGTAATGAACAATGATAGATCATTTAAATCCATTAAAAATGTACCATAAAAAAATATTGCTTGCGAATTTAATTAATTTACGTGTTTATGAAATATTTCTTACACGTTATACTTGATCGATAAAATGTTCTAGGATATTAATTCGCAATAATATCCTGTAATGTAATAATATTGCGGTAACGACTTAAAAAATCCGATAATTTTATTTAGGGGTTAGGATTTATATGGATAAGATACAAAATGATTACTATTATTTACTGTAACGGGGTTTAAGAACTTGTTATCGTTAAGTAAATTCAAAATTTAATGAGGGTCTTCAGGATCCTTTGAATTAAAATTTTGGCTGGTACCGAATTGGTTCCCGAGCTCCAATCCCACATGCCAAATTGGTTTCCATGTGGATAAAGTGTTTTTTTATTTATGTACAGTGAAACCTGTCTTATCCGAACCCTTGATAAGACGGAATCCTTTTCTGTGCGGTAATTTATTATGGTCCCGGCAGATTTCTATAATTTAACATAGGATTAAATCCTTGATAAAACGGAACCTGCCTAACGTAAAACGGAAAGCTATTTATTGGTCCCACAAATCATATACACCTCATATACACGGAAAAACATATCACAATGATTAAACTTTTATATTGTATCTAAATTTTAATTGTTTTGTGTTAAATTGTTGTAAAGGGCTTCGCCTGTTAATATATATAAATAAATAAAATAAAATAAAATGAACAAAAATATTTTTGATGCACATATTTATTTTTCTACTAAACAATTATTAAGGTCAGCGATTAATACGTATCGACAGATAAGTACATTTTATCTTGAATCTACACATCAGTGCGTATTACTGTCACTGTAGTCGTAGTTTACCTGTCGTTTCGTATCGTTGTATTTGCTCTCATAATGTCTTCAAAGATTTGTTAAGTTTAGTTCTATGATATATTTTATTAATGGCCGGAAAATGTTACAACCTTAATCACGCAGAATATTATAACTCTATATTACGGAATTTTCCTTTTTATTCAGTTGTATGGAAATCTGCCTAAAACGGAAATTGTTATTGGTCCCGTGCAATTCCTTACAAGACAGGTTTTACTGTCTGCATATAATAACAACCAGGTATACACCTTGTTCATTGCATAATGGCCCCTAATTTTTTGATAAAATTTATTTTGTACTGTAGAAATTTTAATTTAACTGAAATAAAGAAAAAAAACGTGCCTGATCCATTATTAAAGTATTTTATTACAGTAGTTTAGTTATGTTAATATAATAATGCGTTGATATTTTGCAGCTGCATTAATGTTATGAACAATTATGACTGTTCACAATTATTATTAACAATATATTGTCTGTACTTGTACAGTTGTACAACGGATTTATCCAAAATATTAATAACACTTTCTATTAATAAATTATAAACGTATTATAAACGGGTAATAACCCTTTTGTGTAAGGAATATCAGCCTTACATTTTTAAGTATTTTACATTGAGAACTAAAATTAAAACAGTAATAATGAAATTACAGATACAAAATAATAATAATTTGACAACGGTAAATGATAATAGTAGCAAAGAAACAAACACTAAATCAATAATAACATAATAATGGTAATTAATTTACAAATGAGTTTAAGGTTAAATATACATTTCTATTGAAAACAATACGTGACATAAAGAAAAAATCTTCATGACTCTTTGCTAGTTTAATGCTCTTGGGGAGAAAGAAATGGAGCTATAATTATTTTTATAAAACGTTACATGAAATAAGTTTAAAATTCTTCAGCTGTGATTTTTATATTAAACTCAATCGTAGAAAGCAGATCTGGGGAAACAATATTACCATTCAACAAATCATAAATAAACATAATATCTGTAATTTTTCTTCTTACGTCACAAGATATATGCCCAATTCACTTATTCGAAGTTTATACAAGTTATTTGAAATAAATGGAACATTTAGTTTGTAATACAATCATTTTCAGAATTTATGTTTTACAATTTCAATAAGACCAATAAACGTGAAATAACTAGCGTATAAATTAGGTGATCAGACTATTAAACCAAACTCAAGATGAGATCTAACAAGCTCCAAAAATAAAGCTTTAAAGTAATTAATATTTTTAAAATAAACTAATATATATAACTATAATAGTTATTTCGGTTGATAAAGCCAAGCATCTTAAATGCTTTTTTAGCTGTAGTATTTATTTGAGAAGTGAAAAACAAATTGCAATCAATAATAATCCCTAGGTTTTATTAAGGCAAACCAATTGGTTCCCGTTTTAAAAAGTATTTTATTTAGTTGAGCCGAATTGGTTCCCGTTTAATTATTCGCACATTTTCCTTCTAAATTTTACAGGTTTAGGACTGTCAACTTAAAAGTATGCTTGGTTAAAAATGTG